CGGTTGCCACCTACGACGACTCGACCTGGCAACATATAACGCACGCACTCTGAGGACTGACGAGAAGATACTGGAGCTGGAAGAAGAGGTAGACAAGTTGCGCTGGCATATTATTGGATTATCCGAGGTCCGAAGAGAGGGGGAGGATATATATTCCGATGATATCCCGGACGTCAGTCTGAGCGAGATTAGAATGGCTCTCCACCACCTTAAAAACGGCAAGGCCCCGGGCGAGGATGGAATTACAGCGGAGCTTCTGAAAGCGGGTGGAACACCGGTACTTGAAGTCCTTCAGAAGCTCTTCAATTCCGTCCTCCATGGTGGCACTACTCCGGAGGCGTGGAGCAGAAGCGCGGTGGTCTTGTTCTTTAAGAAAGGCGACAACGCTCTCTTGAAGAACTACAGACCGATTTCCCTTCTGAGCCGCGTCTACGTGCTGTTTTCGAGAGTCATTACGAATCGTCTCGCACGCAGACTCGACGACTTCCAGCCACCCGAACAAGCCGGTTTAAACTTCGAAAAAGGCTTCAGTACCGTAGACCACATGCATACCCTTGGGCAAATTGTACAGAAGTCCGAAGAGTACAATCTGTCACTTTGCCTGGCGTATGTGGACTATGAGAAAGCCTTTGATTCCGTCGAAATTTGGGCGGTGCTACAGTCTCTTCAGCGGTGACTAGTTGACTGTCGGTATATTGAAGTGCTGTAGTGTTTGTACAGTAGGGCTACGATGGCTATCCGAGTACAGAACCAGAGTACGAAACCTATCCAACTGCAGAGAGGTGTAAGACAGGGTGATGTTATATCCCCGAAACTCTTCACCGCTGCGTTGGAAGACGTTTTCAAGCTACTGGACTGGAAAGGATACGGTATTAACATCAATGGCGAGTAACTCACCTTCGATTTGCCGACGATATAGTCCTTATGGCAGAATCGCTGGAGGACCTTAGCACTATGCTCAATGACCTCAATGGTGTCTCCCAACGGATAGGTCTTAAGATGAACATGGACAAAACAAAGATCATGTTTAATGTCCATGTCACACCTATGCCGGTAGTTGTTGGGAGCACTATGCTCGAAGTTGTTGACGAGTACGTTTACCTGGGACAAATAGTCCGAGTAGGTAAGTCCAACTTCGACCGAGAGGTCAATCGACGGATTCAACTCGGCTGGGCAGCGTTCGGGAAATTACGACACATCTTCTCGTCAGTTATACCTCAATCTCTGAAAACTAACCAGTGCGTGTTGCCAGTGATGACTTACGGATCTGAGGCGTGGTCCTTCACCGCTGGCCGTATGAGGACGCTCAAGGTCGCTCAGCGAGCTATGGAGAGGGCTATGCTCGGAGTTTCACTGCGTGATGACTCAGAAATGAGGATATCCGCAGTAAAACCAGAGTGACCCACATAGCCCAACGGATTAGTAAGCTGAAGTGGCAGTGGACCGGCCATATAGCTCTAAGAACCGATAACCGATGGGGAAGAAAGGTTCTCGAGTGGCAGCCTCGTACCGGTAGGCGTAGTGTAGGGCGACCCCCCACTAGATGGAGTGACGACCTGGTAAGACATGCAGGAAGTCGATGGATGCAGGTGGCTCAGGACCGTGCTTTGTGGCATTACTTGGGGGAGGCCTATGTTCAGCAGTGGACTTGTGAAGGGCTGTAATGATGATGATGATGATGAGAATAAGTAATAGTACTACGTACAGAAGTTGCACTTCTTTGATGTCGACTGCTTGCCAACGTTTAATAGCCTACGTAATTATTATTGATTAGATAAATCGCGCACGCAACCTAAATAAAACTTTATCGCTGCGCGTGAGTGTCCATATTACTTTGCATCTTTTCCGCTTCCTAAGTCACGGCGGGCTTTCCGTGGTTATTAAGGGATGTTAATAGAAAGTAAAAAAAATACATTGGGAAATGTTAATTAAGTTACTTAGGTGAAGTACCTATTCTGACTGATCGACTGACCATATTTTCGCCACTATGTGAGTTCTGTGATTCCTAAAGCAAGCAAATTGCAAGGTCATTCGTCGGGAATCGCGATGCTTGGTCTGGAAGCAATAGGTAGATAGTGTAAACAACAAATGAACCTGAAATACGATTCTTAACAGAAATCATTCTGATTAATCATTTCATTCAATCAATTAATCCGAAATCACATCAAATCAAATAGATCATTTCAAGCTCCGGAGGAACCGAAAATTTTCTATTTGATATTTGTAATAGCGCCATCTATTACATGCTATAGGTAATAAAGTCATTTTATCGAACTAAAACTTATTGACTTTCAAGGTGGTAAGTACAATCGACGCTAGATGGCAAATTACAAAAACCTCAAGTTATCATATATTTAATAAATTTGTTTATTCATAAATTTCAATTATAACAATATACAATTGTATCTTACTTTACATGTCTAAAATAGGGATTGTTAGGTACATTTATTTTTACAAAATTAAACTTTTACCTATCTTATTATACTTATATAAGGTGGTTGAAAATTAACATATTAAATAAATCATTTATCATGAAACCTTTAAAGGGTTATTTTTAGTATACTCTACGAAATGATATTTTTAACTCATAGATTTAACAAATAAATATAATAAAATATAGAATAATTTTTAATTTAGGTAACAATATTATAATAAAAAAAAAACCCTTAAATAATAAATACTCCTGATACTCTGCAGTCTGCATTGTTAATTCGATTCGCCTGTTTATTCAGATCATTCGGGATTCGGTCGGGTTGCGTCTCATTCACAATTCAAACAAATCGCGGGTTAAAAAGGTAGCGTCCATTGTTTGTGATTGGTTGTACCGGAACATTCAAAAACAAATGAATGAACCCTCAATACTATTAAGTGTACCAGCTCAAACGAACGAATCATGCATGATTGACACATGTCTAGTCTGATGCCGTTTTGTTTGATGCCGCCGCCCACGTAGGTATTTGTACCGCGGCCAGCATATACATGCTGGGGGTGGTCACGAAAATGGAAATAAAATAATTTCGGATATTATAATACTCATTATCACTTATATTATAATACTCATTATGTTCTACTTTTAAGTAAAAACATTATTAAACAAGATAATTTTTTATTATTACAAGAAAAAACACATTTACCAAGTTAGTGTTGCACTGCCAAATATTTTCGTGGCATTTTCTTTTTATAGATGTTTTTAGTTTTTGATTGTTAAATTTAATTATGTAGAGTATACATATTCGGATAAATAATTTTATCAAAAAAAAAAGATGAGTGAAAAATAGTCAGCATGGCCATCGTTTGATTTCAACTTTACTTAGTATAACTATAACACTAATGCACCATTATAGATATTATATTTTCAAAAAAACGGCACTTAAGGGGAAATATAATCTCAAATGGCTTAGCAAGATCCTTCGTTATGCCGAAAATATTGCAACATTAATTTTGAAATAAATATATGGTAAAGTTGAGGATTAATGTTAAGGTTTATGTTAGACGAAAACACGATTTCGTAAAATTTTCTCGATAGAAAAAAAATCCAAAGTTACCTCCAAAATAAACAATAAACCGCTGTTATTCATAAAATACTTTAAATAAGATCATGAAACTTTGCATACTAACTGAACTAACTATAAAGCAGTGCTTATGTTATTTACTTTTTTAAAATACCATTATTTTCACTGTAAAAAGAAATTACCTAAACTATCGGCCTCTTGAAGCGTGATTCCAGCCGCTCGGTCACTTCGCTTCGGCCTTTGAAGGGAGAGGTTGTGTCGCTTACGATCAGAATATACATTACGCAACAGGACGACGTAAAATTACAATGGGAAATAACCGTGATAAAATAAGAAGCGACTGGGGCGTTAAGAAACACGCATAAATATGATAAACCTAATGAAATAAGTGTCTAACGACCTTTCTACTTACAGTTTTAGTGATTACAAACATGTCGGTACATAGCAAACGACGCGCGCGCAAGTGGGAACGAAATTAGAATTTGAGCTGACTTACTATATCGCCTTAAAATTAGTTACATAAGTGCTATAAAACGCGCTTGCGCCAACTAAAAACAAAATACATGAGGTATTGTTTATAAGACACAGTGAAGTGCACTAGCACAAGGTTGGCAAGACCCTTGCCCCACAGTGGCCCCACTATTGTTCTGCACTAGTACATTCGTTTTCCAACTATAAGGTCTTAAAACTGTGCCCTAACTGAAGGCGATCATTAAATTCCAATGATACATTTCAGAAGCAGCATATTTGAACAGGACCCTTTTTACAGTGAAGAGAATTTGAGATGTGTTATGCAAAAATGCGTGTACTCATACACATATTTTTCAAAACATTGGGAAATTTGTGCACTTGTGGTCAAAACTCGACGAATTGCGTTTATCTAGTTTCTCCACCCCCCTTTTTTATTTCTTATAGCATTGGGTGACAAACGAGCAACAGTCCATCTAATGGTAATGGTGATGGATGCTGTGACCGTAGACATTTATCCTCAATTAAGGATCAAAATGCAAATGCGTTGTCACTCCTGAGGACTAAGATGGAATGCCTCGATTCCAATAAAAAGGGTCTCCGGTTCTCTACAGTCATCGTACGAAACACAGCAGCATTACGTTGGTATTCTGTGAGAGCGTGGTACTGTCCCGGTCGAGCCGACCCATTCGTGCTACAACCATAATATAGCTGCAGCGTGGCTCTACCAAGTAAAAAAAAACCTTGGTTTTTGACATACCCAACAATCGAACTATTTTGTTGTTCGTCGTGCGTACAGCAACTTGTGGAATTTACTATTTATATTTGTCTTCTTACAATGTGTGTGTCTTTTAATGCATATGCTTTTGTTAAGTTTACCGCTATTCTTTGGTTACGTCACCACTTACCATCAAGTGGGATGGTAATCAAGCCTAGTGCTTATAATAGTTAAAAAAAATATGATAATTAATAATCACAAATAATTCTGATGTATTTTACTTCTTTATTTATTATTTTCAGGCACAAAGAAAGGGAAGGGAAGCAAATGAAAGAAAACTTATTAAGCAAACGTTACCCGCACGCGACACGGAGCAAGCCTCTATACCACAACTGCTTCTTGCAAGCTCCGGATGGGGAGTTGTTATGTACATGTGACACTAAAAAGGCTGAATGGTATGTGCTGTATGTGTATAGTTAATGTTATTGTAATATCGACTTACTTGTACGCTATGTAAGAGGATTTTGTAAACTTTTCTAGAATTTCCTGTTTCTCCTGCACATGGTCCGTTTTTGATGTAGTGAATAAGAAATAAGAAAAATTTATTTGCCAGAATGTTCATACAATGTGATGGAAACAAAACATAGCATTCAATTAAATTAATAGTGAGCAAATATTATCTCATTTCTAAGTTTATCACACAGAGAAACCCCGAGCATAGCAGTAGACCCAGAGTAACTGACATAGTCCAACGGATTAGTAAGCTGAAGTGGCAATGCTGGCAAGGCTGAATGGACCGGCCATATTACCCCAAGAACCGACAAGCGAGGGGGGGGAAAAGGTTCTCGAGTGGCAGTCCAATACCGGTAGGCGTATTGTAAGACGACCCCCCAATAGATGGGGGACGACCTGGTAAGACATGCAGGAAGTCGTAGGTCGTCGTGCAGGTGGCTCAGGACCGTGCTTTGTGACATTCCTTGTGGGAGGCCTATGTTCAGCAGTGGACTTGTGAAGGGCTGTAATGATGATGATGATGATAAAATATTATCTGTCAGAAAGATTCTATAAATTTTTAGCATTTTGATCATTCATTTCCAACACCACAATTATGTCGAATTAGATTATATTAAATATTCATAGTAGCATTTTCCAAAAGTAATTGTTAAAGTTTACCCTTAAAAACATACTACCAACAGAATTTGAAAGGTTTACTTTAAGTAAACCTTTCAAATTCTGTTGGTAGTTCATTATGTATTTTACATAATGCCGTAGACGCTTTTCGTGTACATACATGCTATAAGGCCCACTGGAAGTATTGGTAAAACACTTTGACCTATCTTTCCAGCGTTCTATGTTCAAACTTTCAAGGAATGAGTTATTTTGCACGTTCCCTCCTTTTACAGAAAGGATCAAGCATTTGATTCTGAAGTTTTAGAAAATACCGTCATTTTTTGGTTACCATGGCCTCGTCTGTTTGTTAGTAAGATGCACTGCATGAACTCCACCTAAGTAGGGACTTGAGTAAAGTTTTTGGGAAAAAATTTACCTCTTTCCAACACATAAGCTTGCATTTTGTAGTGACTTTTACACAAAAAGGGTATTTTATAATGGAGTGATGTGCTTATAGGTACGTGGAAAAAGAATTAGCAGATATAGTGGACAAAGATCCCTTCACAGTTCGATTGAGGTTTGAGCCAGCCGGACGCTCCGTGGGCGACGTGGGCAGATACTACCAGCTCACTAAAGAAAACAAATGCGTAGTTTGCGGCAGTAATAACTCGTACATTCGAAAGAATGTGGTGCCCAGGGAATACAGGAAGTATTTTCCGGGTGAGTGTGCATTTTACGTATTTCTATTACAGTTACAGTAATATTGTTTGTGAAAAAAACTTTGGCTTTCACTGCTTAGTTGTCTAGTGACATTAGTGACTGGTAAGCGTGTCAGCTGATTCTGGGTTGGACCAAAAATCAGTTATTGCATTAAAGATATAATAATAGTAATAATATTGCCTCGTTGGTTTAGTGGTTGTACTAGTGCGACTGTAGTGGGCCTGGGTTCGAATCCCTGTCAGGCCGAAAATCAATTATTGAGTTTTTCTGTCAAGAAATATTCAGTAACTGCCCGAAGCCAGGAAGTTAGCGGTGTCTCAAACCCGTGCCTCGGAAAGCACGTAAAGCCGTTGGTCTTGCGCCTGATCTCTCTCCGGTCGTGTCGGTTTACCGTCCCATCGGGTTATGAGAGTCAGGAAATAGAAAGTGAACCTGTGCTTGCGCATTCCCTTGGGCACTATAACCCTGACCAACGCTATGTATTTTATTTATAAGTGTTTTTATACCACCAGTATACGTGATAGAGCCACGCGTGGTAGAGCTATATTATTGTTGTAGCACGAATGGGTTGGCTCGACCGAGGTAGGATCTCGCTTTCACAGAATAGCAGCTTAATACTGTTGTATGGTGAGTGTAGAGATCCGGAAACCCTTTTTTACTGGAAACGAGGCATTACGTCTTAGGCCTCAGGGGTCACAACGCATCTGCGTTTTGATCTTAATCGAGGATAAATGTGGATGTGTCATTTCTGTGGGCCACAGCATCCACTTACCATCAGGTGGACTGCGTGCTCGATTATCACCCTTACACTATAAAAAACAAACAACACCTTAAAAAAATCTAAACCCTACACCAGGGATGGCAAACCAATGGCACGCGACACAATATTTTGGGCAACAGTTATACAAACACGAGTGATTCTAGTTACATCGTGGACTACCATTGCTAATGACGTATAATTTCATCATAATCATCATCATTACAGCCCTTCACAAGTCCATACCTCCCCCAAAGAATGCATAGTACGTTTACGCATAGTATAATAGTCAATTTCGTTGATACAACTGTATTTAAAAATTCATTTGTGTTATATTTAGGATTTTACAACCCCATTGATTTACATATGAGTTGTTTGTCATCTAATCTGCAACAACAGAAGTCACACTAATGTTACTTTAATTTGATTTACGAGTAACATTTATTATTATACATAGCAAAATGTATTTGTCTCAACTCAAAACTATTTATTTTTTGTAGTAAATATAGAGTTTTGAGTTGATAGAGTATTTAGTACTATTATTTTCCCCATAATCATGAAGTCAAAGTTATTTTACGGCACGTCTGTTCCTAATTAAACATTTCTTTAGAAAAAATAGCACGTTAATACACAAAGGTTCGCCACCCCTGCCATACACTATTATTTTCTCCTGAATCATGGAGGTAGATTAAAACATAAATTACACAAAGACAAACATCCAGATCCGGAACAATTGTTTGTGGGCCATACAAATACTTGTACGAATACCGTGCGGGATTCGAACCCGCGCCTCTTAGCGCCGCAAGCTAAGCCATTGCGCCACGGGGCCGTCAAAAGTATTAAGTTATTAGGTTTTTCAGTTTTACTTTAAGGATAGTATTTTATAAAGATTTTATTTGCCACGTCTTTCCGTAGAAATAATGAAGGATCACTCGTCGCACGATGTGGTGCTATTGTGCGTGGAGTGCCACCAGCGCAGCAACATGCGAGACCAGGCTGTGCGCGAACAACTCGCGGCGCAGTGTGACGCGCCCTTGAGTGCGCACGGTGAGGGCAAGTACAAGGAGGACCCGGAGTTTAAGTGAGTTATACAGCTTTGTGCTGTGCTACTTTCTGTGTATTGTGATAGTTTAAGTGAGTTATACAGCTTTGTGCTGTGCTACTTTCTGTGTATTGATATTTAAGTGAGTATAGCAGTGCTGTGCTACTTTTATGTGTAATTAGTTTTATGGTTTGGTTTCAGGCGACTTTCTGTGTATTTTGATAGTTTTTAGACAGTCAAGTGTATTCGAAACTTTTCAGGTCTCAGACCGACAAAGACTATGTATATTTCAAGTGACGCATAACGAAGCCGAAACCCTATTCAAGTTATTGTAAGAACATACGCTCATGCACATGTATGTATTTTAAATCATTTACAACCAGCAATGTGGTTTTAGGTGCATATTTGTACATCTAGCTGTGGATTTATGTTTGGAAAAGCCATGTTGCAGATACATTATCGTTGTAGAACTAATGGGTTGGCTCGACCGAGAAGGGACCACGCTCTTATAGAATATCAGCTTATCAGCTTAATGCTGCTGTGTTTCGTATAGTGGAAATGTCGCATTCCATGTTAGTCCTTCGGTTTGAAAACGCATCTGCATTTCGATTAATAACCGAGGAACGCATCTATACCGCGGCGCATCGTAATACCGACTCTCCTCTTTCTCCGCGACACCACCTTGGCCTCAGACTGGGAGAGAAGGCAACCTTCCCATCTCAGTCCATCAACGCGCAACAGTTGTAGGCTCGCCTGGCTCACTCTGAGTGGTTGGTCGAGGCAGCCAGTGAGATTACTCTTAGCTAACCGTGTGTCCCGTTTTAGTGGGTTAAGTAAAAACCTAAACGAACTCTAAGAAAAAAAAGGACAGCAAACAATACAAAGCTCGAAAAACCCTTTCAGAAACGATAAAAGGGATAGGCTCAGCTTTGGGACATAATACATAGGTTTTTTCTTACTTAACCTATCTACAAAGTTCGTGGCAAGAGAATATATATAATATATATTTAATTAAGTTTACTTCACTCGGTTACTGCATTATTATATTTCAAGGATAGTAAGATGCGCACTAAAATAACAATGTTTAATAGTGTAAAATCAATTGCCCATGAGTGAGACGTTAAAATGCTGTTACTAACTTTCTCTTATTTGCCATTAGGAAAGTGCGATCCGCCGCTCGGGCACTTCTGTACCAGTCTAGGAAACACTTGCTGCCTGAGAAGAGACGGATCGAACTGGAGAACATCATACTACAGCACTTCCCAGAACATGACAACATTTCAGAGGAGTTATTGCAGAAGGCTGCCGAAATGCAAGTCGTGTAAGTTCTCAATTGCTCTAATTAACTGACAGTCTCTCGGATAACCAGCGTAGCTTAATGCTGATCTGTTTCTTATGGTGAGTGTAGAGAACCGGAGACCATTTTTACTGAAAACGAGGCATTCCATCTTAGTCCTCAGGGGTGATAACGCATCTGCATTTTGATTCGTAATCAAGAATAGATGTAAATGTCTATGGGCCACAGCAACCACTTACCATCAGGTAGACTGTGTGCTCGTTTGTCACCCTATCTTATACAAAAAAAGTCAATTGCATGTTCGATTTATTCAAAATTAATTGTGTAGTTGTGTAGTGGCTGCGTAGAATCCATAACCTTACTTCGTTCATTCGTTGTTGTGAGAGGCGACAAAGGGAAATAAACCAAGAGATAGGCAGTAGTGTCTTCCTAAAAGCACCTTAAAAATAAAAAACTGCGGTTGCCAAGTTTGGCAACATTAGCTAATATCCCCCCTCCCCATCCCCACTATGAAGTAATCTATAGGGAGACGGTTAGTCTTCTTTTCGTCAATAGTGAAATATCCAGACCGACGATGGGCAAACATGACGATTAAGGTAAATTCTCCCAACATTGGGAAAAGCCCATGTACAGTAGTGGAATTCTACGGGATGATGATGCTGATGGATTGTGTTGCATCTATAATAAGTTACTAAATTGTATTATTTAAATTTGCTGCTATTATACCTCTCATAGACAGTACAATTTGGCTGGACCCAACCAGCGGTTTGGCTTTGGATCTAACCATTTGGTGCCTTCCCAGCCAAATTAGCGCGTATCTTTGATAGATCCGACCAAACTATGCTCAGTCAGTATTCATACGGACGATCGTTTGATTGGCAAAAATGCCAATATTTATTGTGGAATATCAGTTTGCTCTATAACTGTATTAGTTTTTATTATTAGTGGTCAAACTTGTCCAATAATTCCTTTTTTTTTTGAAAAACGAGTATACAGTGTATCTATCTGATGGTTCACTAACACCTACTACATCTATTCTCGATAAAGTATCAAATGTCTGAACCACTCTCATCCCCTGAGAACTAAGATAGAAAGCCATGTTACAAGTGGTTTCGGGTTCTCTACACTTACTATGTGAAACACAGCAGCAATATGATCCTTTTTCACACTGCGTCGGAGAGAGTGTTGGCCTTCTCTTGTCTAGCAGACTTATTCGTGCTGCAACTTATACAATTATAGCAGCGTGAGGAAATCCACTACCACGTATCTTCCCGTAGGTATCGTAAAAGGCAACAGAAGTTAACTGAAACAGTTGACGAGCAGCTTTTCCTGATAACAGATTACATTATAAAAGAAACTGCGTTTGCCAATCCAACCTAACTTTGGCAAGCCTGTGGCAGCACAAGTGTGTGTATATTTCTGTTCTCACGCATTAAATATACACTTGTTACGAGCTTAGGGTTCGTGGCAATAAAAACTGCCGATTGAATTACCAAAATTGACACTTTAATTGCCGAACACCAATTAAAAGTTAAAACATTAATAATTAATCACACTGATCACTTTAGTTCACTTTATTTCGCTCCGAAGCTTCGCTAGTATCGCCAATTCAATACTGCCCCGATCCCGCCTTTAAACGGCTTTATATAGGCCTTTTCCACCAAAACATCCAGAATATTCCAGCAAATACATAAAGCATAGTTCTTCCATTCGATAGTAGATGGCGCTAGTGCCATCAAATGTGGCGCGCAACACAATGATTTCATTTAAACAACACATAAAAGTATGTCAATTGACACATAGCCCTATATAATATGAATTGATTTATATTTTGTTTTAAAATAATTCATTCGTTTTCTCTACAGTTTTGAGAACATAGACTATGAGTCTCACGGCCACAGAGTGGTGGAATACTTCCTCAAGCATGACGGGCTGCTACAACTCGAAGAGCTGTGGAGGGCACACTTTTTACAGTCAATGAAACCAAAGTACATGCCCGAGTTGTGGTCTGTCAAGCATAATGAAGAAAGGTCAGTGGCATCGTAGATAACTTTATAACGCTCACTAAAGCATGTGATACACACATGCTTTAGTGAGCGTTAAGTTGAAGATCATATAATTTATATCTATAAATATAATAAAAATGTAAATTGCAGATGTCTGTACACTTTATAATTTTGTAAAACAAAACTGATTGAGAAGGACTAAAAATAAATAATTGAATACATTTCTATAATTTTTAGAATTGTCTGTGTGTCTGTTTGTTTTGTTAACGTGTCGTGTATAAAGTACTGATTTATATCGAAATAATCGCTAGGAAAATTGTGAAGCGTATCTTCGTTTAAAATTTAGTCTTTGTTTTATTAAAATCGGTTCATTCTATCAAAAGTTATTATTAATATTCTGAGGTATGGGTACAAAGTATAGGTACGAATTTGTTTAATTGTGGCGTTGAGTGATCAAGGGAATTTTTGTAATTAAATAATGTAAAATAGTGTTCTATGATCATATAATTGTATCTAAACGCAGTAAAAAAATAAAGAATAAGGTAATTAATATTTATAAAAAATATATCTTAGTGAAAAAAGTACAATAGTAAACCAATGTCATCGATAGATGGTGTTGTGCAAATTATTTATTAAATTTTAAATAACTAGGTTGCTTATAAGTTTTTTCTTAACCGCCGAGTACCTACAACATAGTAAATCAAATTTTAAAAGAGCTATTAAAAATTCTTTGATTTCGGCGAAATTCATAGGAGCTTGGCAGTAGGCATATTATACCCTTTCGCAGTTCCACAAAGTTTTAAAATTTACATGTAGTGAAATTGAAAGATTACGTTACCCGATTTTGAGTTGTTTTTATATTATTCCTAATCGTTCTTTTCTAAATATCATGTAATTTTTATTTTACTGTAATAATAAATTGACTACTATAATTTTATATAGATGGCGCTATAAGTATTTTCAAACAACATAAGGTTTAATTATAAACGAGATATGAAAGAAATAAAATGTAAATAATCACTTTGCTTGCTCCCTTTAACGCAATGTTTATATTGGACCAGCAATTATAAGTTTCTTACTTTTATCCGATAATTGTTACAGCATTTTAAAGTCTACTGCTGAATATAAGCCTGCCCATTGATTGCCTCATATCTGGCATAGTTTCCACGACCTATCACGCACGCTTTATCCGATTACGGAACCGAAGAAGCGGGTTATATATTATAATATACAGCCAATACAGAGGCGAAGCTAGGGCTCCAAACTAGGGCAAGCCCAATATATGGTTTTGTTGTTTTTAACAGTTTTATAAAAATACACCAATCTTGATCAGTCTCCACTCTTTAGTTTCATATTCAGTGCTGTCGAGAACGTGTTTAACAAAGCACACAGAAGGCATACTACTGCTAGATAGATTGTATGACATATGCAATTGCATACCTTCGGTGACTGAAAAGAGCCGTTTGGGTTTGCTTGAAAGAAAGAAAAAGATATTTACATACAACACAATACATGAACAAAAGAAAAGCATGAACAAAGTACAAACAAACTATGTACAACATTAAAAAAGGGACGCCTGGCAGATGTGAAACATCGAAATTATTTTGTTTAAACAGATTACGACAGTAATTAGATATGGTATAATGGGAAGATAAAGCTTTGCAAATTTTTAACCATAAAATAATGACTTTATTTTGAATTATATAACTATTCATTTTCAATTTTAATAAACCGTACAAAATGATATTTTTAACTCCTAGGGTAATATAAATATTAAATTAGCCGACGGCGTGTTTGTGTCATCTAGCGTAATCTTTACGTACCACCGTGGGAATCAATCAATTTTTGTTCGATAAAATGACTTCACCTATAGAATTAAGTAGATGGCGCTATTAAAATTTTATATACTGAACTGAGAAGATAAAGCTAAAAGGACTAAATTAAATATTCTTTAAAAACCTCAATACATTTATTCATTTAATTTATTACATTAAAATTTGGGCTTCACATTAAAAAAAAAAGGATTGTAACAATTATTTGCTATAAAATTAAACTTATATCTAGGTATCTCGTATTTTATGCTGAAGTTCAAAATGATATTTTTAACTCATATGGTAACATAAGTATTGAGTTATTAAACCTTTGAATACGTCTAGAATAATTAAACTTTAATACTAAAGAGCCCTGCACCTATTAAAGTATGAAGAAATGTTTATTGAACTAAAATTTCATTTTTAAAGATTTTCCTTTCCTCGCCGATTAGCATTTTAACACACTTATATTCATCACAAGGAACACTATTATCCTCCCATTTTCACTAAAAATCTTTGAAAAAGCATAAATTTTTAACAGACACAACAAAAACAAACATAAACATTGAAATGTGAAGTGAACTCGCATACGTATTACCGTACCCCACTCGCTAACGCATTCCCAAACAACTTATATTTCATTATAGAACATTTTGCCACAGGTTAGAAAGGGAGCGATCGTCTTCTCTAAAGCCCGGTAAAAAGCCAACGCGTGCGAGAGAGACGACAAAATCAACACCTTACTTTAATTAATTTTGACAGTCCAGTGTATTTCGAATTGAAAGCAAACTGCTAAGTGTTGACGTTACATATTATATGCTACAAGGTCACGCCCTTTGAAATAGTTTGAAACAGTTTACGAGTTATTTTATTAGTTGATATTATTGATTAAGCATTTTTATAGAGCAAGCCTGGCTTCTGGGCTTCTATGGAGACTTCGCCACTGAGCCAATATAATATGGTCCACGTCTGAGTATAAGCATTCAATGAAATGTACTCAGATTTTTTTTTATAGAAAACCCAACTGATTTTAAACATTCCTAAGTTAGTTTAGTTTTATTTTTCGTTTGTTTGCAGAATGAGACAATATATAGATACTTACGCAATTTCATTTATTTTGTTAGTGTAGGTACAGCTTTAGCTAGGCATTGGATTGTAGTTTTCATTTCCAATTTTTTATTTAATATCAATAATTAGTGATGGTGCTTACTTAACATAACATAACACTCACGCTTGTCGCCCAGAGGGGTAGACAGAGACTACGGACTTCCAATTGGCACGATCCTGACATACCTTTACATCCATATATCTACGCATACATGCTCGTCGGTTAAGGGTACTTCTAATATGGCCCATTTTCAAAATATCGCCAATATGGTCGATAAACTTTCTTCTAGGGCGTCCCTTCCCGACTCTGCCGTTCATGTCTGCTATATAAATTTGCTTTGTCACTCTTTCCTCATTCATTCTTTCATTTCCTAATCCTGGTCACAACATCTTGCATACCACATTTATCTTTTATCACGCAATTTCTCACCCTGTCATTCAGATTCAACTAGTGCTTACTTTTTAGGGCAATCTCTTATTTGTTGTATGGAAACAAAGTATTGGCTTGATAAATTCGTGAGAAAATTAGGGCTTTAGTTATTGCGGTAATTTTGTTGTTTATTTAGAAAATAGAAGAGAGGCGTACAGTTTGTCCTATTCATTTCTTGATTCATTTATGGGTCACTTTATATGTTCATTCGTTTGTTTGTATGATTGTCTGGCTAACTGTCTTTATTCAGATTAGTGTCGTTTTAAGTCTTCGCGACAGTTTAACAAATAAAACGTCATCACTTAGAATAGTTAAAGCACTGGTTCCACGCGAACGAAATTGCGGGCACAGCTAGTAAATAATATATAATCTCTCACGCCTGTCAGCCAGAAGAGTACGCAGAGACTACGATCTTACATTTGACACGATTCTGACACACCCCGAATTCGCTTCTTTTCCATCCGTATATCTGTGCACACATGTTAGTCGGTTAAGTCTTGGGAGGAAGGGAAGAGTATTCAGTTTAGTCGATAAACTTCCGTCTAATGCGTCCCTTGCCTACGCTGCCACACACTTCTGCAGTATATAAATTTGCCTTGTTACTTTTTCCTTATTAATTTTTTCTGTGTCCATACCACCGAAGCGCTCCTTTCATAATTCTTGTCAAAAGTGTAGTTTGCATCTTTCAAACCACACTTGTGTGCGGCTTGTGATCTCCTAAGCATGGTTATGCATTGTCTACTAATTTTCTCAAAAGCTCTTGGCTAACTTGTAATATTTATTTCAGACTGAAAGTACGATTGAAAGAAGGACGCCTTTCTGAAGAAGATGCAAAGATTTTAGGGCTATCTAAGTCCCTGTAAGAAAAACAAAATTTTAACTAATGTAAGAGAAATATTTACAATTTTAATAAAATTATTTATATACAAATAATTCATAGTTTTATTGAGTCAAAACTTTGCCTACAACACTATCAATGTTTTTAAAAAATATGTTATTATTTCATCATATTTGGGATAAAAGATATTACTGAGAAATAAAGACTAGCTTAAGTTAACCCTTAATAGGGCACAGGACAAATGCTTACCACCTCAGCTTTTTGACCATAGATCATGAATCACTCTATATACGCCTGCCTTTATTCATTATTTATAATGTTTAGTGACCACTGACCTCTATATATACAAGTACGCTGGACTGGCTATACCATACAAAATGTCTATGCCAATTTGAAGCACCCCTAACGGTCGTCTTGGAAACTAAAATTCACATAATATGCCAAAGTCTTATTCAAATTTTCATATTTAAAAAATCTGTATTTTGAACTTTTAAACTAAAAAACGAAAGTATTTTATGTTGTTAGATTGTGTATGATATTAGTTACATAATAAGAATTATTTTTAATAACAATGAAAGTGTGCGTAATCTGTAAAACTCGTTACCAAAAGCGCAGTGGTATAACATTTCACAAGTAAGTGAATTTGCAGCTAATATTAAACAAATTAAAACTATTTCATAATATAAGTACTTAAAAATTTGTTACTAATCTTAATATCATATATACCAACATGTTTGGCTATATATTACTGAGTTTTGATAAACAATAAAATTTAATAGGGTTGTCGAGTTCCTTGTCTATAATATTTATCGATGTTCTTTCATACCCATATCTGTTAACAAACAAAGTCGCTAACAACGGATGATTATCAAATGTTTATTAATTAACAGGTTTCCAACGGAACCTAGACTAAAATTATGGCTTAAAAGCATTAATATTTTGAATTGGCGTCTGTAACAAAATGATTCACAGACGACTATTTTATTAGACATGAGAACTGCATCACTTTGAAAAAGTGCAGTATTTCGACATTTTTTTATGGCAGTACGAGTACCAGTAAGTATAAAAGTATTAGATTATTATTCCGAATGTTTTTTTTATTTTTTCTTTCCTCATTTTCCCCCAAACTCAGGGGCCATAGCCAAGTGTCGAAAGGTCGCCTGATGATGTCGAGCCACGTTGGATGTGTGTTAGTGGGCTGCGGCTAGAGGAGATTGCTCTCCCTGTACCGCTGTAGTCGAGGTGGAATCGTCAGGGAAGAGGAGTGTTGGTATGGCGATTGGCGATGCAATGCCACTCGACTATCGTTCGCGACTCTGGTTAGGCTGCTTGCTGCTTCCAAGTGCTCGTTTTTTCATAGCTCCGTTCACACGAGCGCGGGGAGTCCGTAGTGCAGATGGAGTCAGAGGCCGCGAAGGGCCGTGTGCCTTGTGTTTCTGGTGCGCCTTATCTGAGAAGAAAAACGGCGGGGAGGGGGGAGGGAGAAGTCAGCAACTAAGGAGGGGCTGCCATTGGGCGGCTGGCACCGGAGATGCCGCGGATGTGCATGAAAGCGTTTCTGTGGCCCTGTCAATTTGCGGCGGAGGTAGAACATCATGGGGTTTTAGTAAGTGCGAGTCTAGAGATTTAATTCTCTCTCGAGTCTCAAGATTTAATTTGTACTTTAACTTCATAGTGGCCCTTCTTTAGTTTATTTCTTATTTACAAATTCTGGCCACCGTTTACTTTCACGGTTTTTGGCAGCTTCCTCTTCTGCAACACCCACCGACAAAGGCAATTAAGTGTTCGATCAAGAACCCATGGGTTGCAATATGTCAAGCCTCCTCGAATACGTGGCATTGCCGAAGCTGGAAAGCCTAGGAGGATAAACTTAGGAATGAAGATCTCGGCAGTAGAACCAGAGTGACCGACATCGCCCAATGGATTAGTAAGCTGAAGTGGCTATTAACCGGCCATATAGCTCGAGGAACCGATACCCGATGGGGAAAAAAGATTCTCGAGTAGCAGCTTCATACCGGCAGGTGAAGTGTCGGAAGTTCCCCCACTAGATAGAGTGAAAACCTGGTAAGACACAGGAATATGATGGATGCATGTGGCTCAGGACCGTGCTTTGTGGCATTCCTTAGGGGAGGTCTATGTTCAACAGTGGACTTGTGAAGAGCTTTAATGATGATGAATGATAGTGGCATTATATTAATGCGATACATAAATAGAATGGACGTTACGAGTAGAGTGCATCTATACATAGAGCCCATTCTATTTATTTAGGTATAGGGTATGGAATTTTTATCGATATATTTTGTCACACTGTCTTATCCCTATTATTAGTTCCGTGGATGTGCACTTCTGCTGTCAGCGCCAAAATGGTGCAAATCAAATTGCCTTATCATGTCACGGTGTATAGCTAGTCCAGCGTACTTGTATATATAGAGGTCAGTGGCAGTGACCCTTGAAACTTTTATTAGTACTGGCAATTACGCTAACTGTAAAAGTATACGAACTACCTCCATTAGAAAAAAAAACTGGACAATCTTGAAAATCGAGTGTGTTTTGTGCCAACAAGTTGAAACTTTGTTCTAACAAGATTCCGGTAAGTGGTTTCACGTTATTATAGGTAGGATAATTGATTATATTACCCTGCATGTCTTGTAGAACAAGTTTTGTAATGATAATTGTATTTATTAGAAAAAATAAATAAAATCGGTGGTAACACTCTTACCATTGCCCGGTTAGATCAACTTAGTAATATTTGGTGGTAATATATTTTTTACCTTTACACATTTGCGTTTACAGGAGAATGTCGAAGACAAAGAGGATAACTGACAGTATTATCGCCAGTATTCTAGAAGATGAACTCTCCGCTATTGAAAATAGCGACGAAAGTATCGGATGAACCACTCCTGGGAGATTGTGTACTGCATTACGACGATGAGGTTTCAATGGCTTTTCAAGAATATTTGGTGGAGATCCTGAGTCGGAAAGGAATAAACGTCGAATAAAGTCGGAACGAAAAAACGAGAATTTTCAAGACCCTCCTGTGCCACGTGTTTCGGTAGAATATCTAGAAAGCGTTGAATCTGTGATTGAAGAAGATTCGGTGAGGGAAGTAAGTACACAAAATGAATATGATGGGGACAGTTTTTTTGGCGCTCTTTCTGAACCAAACTCGACTACAGCTCAGTCAGACTCAGCGCAGCCTGAAGAATATGCGAGTACAAACGTCGTAAGTAGGCTTATTTGTGTAGCACAAAACTGGTCTGATAAAGTTCCAAATCATAGCATACCAAAGTTTGATAAACGGCTGACAGTAAATATGCACTTCACTCATAAAACACCGCCTATAGAATTTTTTGATAATTTCTTTCCTTATGATCTCGTAGAGTTGCTGGTAGAACAAACAAATATTTATGCGGCACAGAGGCAAACGCTTCACTGGAGTTCAACATTTGTAGCCGAAATGCGTGCATATCTTGGTGTCTTGGTACTGATGGGTCTTCACCCCTTACCTGATGCTAATCTTTATTGGTCAACCGATACTTTTTATAGAAATCCTGATATTATCCAAGTTTTCACTCAAAAGAGATTCAAAAAACTGACTGACAACATTCACTTGAATGATAAATCCAAAGAACCTGCAAGCGATGCGCCAGATCGAGACAGGCTTTATATAAAATACGTCCTATGATAACTAAATTAAACGAAGTATTCCAGACTCAGTGTTCTCAATCAGGCACCCAATCGGTGGACGAATGCATGGAAAGTTCAAGGGGAAAAGCACACTCAAACAATACATGCCAAAAAAGCCCATAAAAAGGGGTTAAAAAATATGGGCTCGGTGTGATGCTTAAACCGGATACATTTATGTCTTTGATATCTATATCGGGAAAGCAGACGAAAATGCATCAAGTGAGGAAGGCTTAGGATACAATGTGATAATTAAACTATGTGAAGTTGTTCCACGCAGCACTCTTGTAGCTTTCGACAACTTCTTTACTGGCATTCCTCTGATGAATGATTTGCTGGTAAGGAAAGGAATATATGCCGTCGGTACCTTACATTTGTACGGAAAAGGCTTACCAGAAAAGTTTTTGCCCAAAAATAAACTCAAGAACGAAAAACTTGGAAAGCTCGAGTTCATGTATAAAAGTAAAGCTCCAGTTTCTGCTATACAGTTGATTTTTTTTATAGAAGAGGGGGCAAATGAGCATGCGGCTCACCTGATGTTAAGTGACTACCGCCGCCCATGATCAACCGCAACACCAGAGGAATTGCAGGTGCGTTGCCGGCCGTTTAGAAAAGAGTAAGCTCTTTTCTTGAAGGTCCCCAGGTCGTATCGGTCCGGAAAAATCGCCGGTGGTTGTACGCGGAAGAAAACTCCTTTTGAAACGTGCAGTGGTGGACCGCCAAGAATGGATACTTGATTTACTTTGACAACGGCACATAACCCAAAATCTGTGTCTACGGTCAAGCGAACACAAAAGGATGGTTCCAAGAATTATTACTATTTCCACTGCTATCGCCGAATATACTGTGAATATGGGAGGAGTGGATCGTTTTGATCACTTCCGTGCCTCATATCCAATCGGCCGAAAATCGAGACGTAACTGGTTGCGCCTATTTTATTTTATGTTTGATGCAGGTATCATCAACGCGTACATATCGTACATCCAAATTCACAAGCAATCGGTCACACACATAGAGATTACAGACTTCGTTTGGCTCGCAGCCTTATAGATGGTTTCACAGGCAAAAAACGAACCACTAGTATTATTTTCAGGTACAAACATGGTGGAAAAGTCTGAGTACCCGCTGAAATCAGACGCTCTTCTGTGCCGCATTATCCAGAAAACCAAAGAAAATTTACTAGATGTCGATTTTGCAGCACGAAAAATAATTAAAAACGATCAAGGATCATTTGCGATATCTGCAAAATAGCTTTATGTGCCACACCATGCTTCAAGAACTTTCATACTGATGGAGAGGCTATGGACTGTAGTAGGACTTCCTCTAGTAATACTTTAACGGGCTAAGATCAAATAGTTACCACATGCACCCAAATGTAAACGGGCAATGGTAAAATGGTTACCACCTAAATTTCGCGTACTTGTGATTAATTTTGTTTAGATTTTTATGAATAATGTTAAAAATGGTCCTAATAAACGAATAAATAATAATGCAAAACCTGTTTTTTTTATATAATATTTTTTAATTCTGCTCTATTAAGGGTTAAGGACCTGTTTTTAGGGTTCCGTAGTCAACTGGGAACCCTTATAGTTTCGCCATGTCTGTCTGTCCGTCTGTCCGTCCTCGCTTAATCTCTGTGACCGTTAGCACTAGAAAGCTGAAATTTGGTACCAATATGTGTATCAATCACGCCGACAAAGTGGTAAAATAAAAATTGGAAAAAAATGTTTTATTAGGGTAGCCCTCCTACATGTAAAGTGGGAAGTGATTTTTTTTTTAATTTCAACCCTAACGTGTGATATATTGTTGGAAAGGTATTTAAAAATGAATAGGGGTTTACTAAAATCATTTTTTGATAATCTCAATAATTTCGGAAATAATCGCTCCAAAAGTAAAAAACAATGTGTTCCCCCCCCCCCTCTAACTTTTGAACCATAAGTTTAGAAGATATGAAAAAAATCTGAAAAGTAGAACTTTATAAGAACTTTCTAGGAAAATTATTTTGAACTTGGATGGAAACAACAGTACCCACTACCGGGAGCAGTTGCAGGAGCGCGGAGCGCTGCTGGAGCGCGAACATAATGGATACCCACCTTTAAACTCATAAGTGGGAACACTTATTGTGACGGACGGGAAACTACGGAACCCTACACTGAGCGTGGCCCGACACGCTCTTGGCCAGTTTTTTTAACTGGCTTTACGGCTCTGGGTGCTAGCCCTTCTGAGCCTATCATTTCTTTCTGAATCTTCATTTTATATATTTTTTCTTCACAATTTGCTGATGCGTCACATTGCCAAGTTTTTGGGAGATTTTGACGACAGCTCAACCCAGCGGACTGTTGATGACGACAGCCACTCAAGTTCATAAGGCGCCCAAGTGATCAAATTAACTTGAGGTTTTTTAAGCGATTTTAAAACGTGTTCCATCTCCAAAAGTCTATTGAGAATGATAAACATAGTAATATTACTTTTTTCCTGGCTTTATTGGAAAATTTAATTATTGATACGAAATAAGGAAAATAAATGCAATTTTATAAGATATTTTACATCACTAGACGCGTTAGATAATTTTCAGGTTAAGATTGGACATGATTCTTCAAAATGTATATAAAGTTACAGCCTTTATATGTTCCACATCTGTGCACAGGCCTCGAAAGAAGACCGAACAAACGAATACACAGTTCGCCTAATGGTAAATGGATGTTGTGGCCCATAGACATTTACATCTATCCTCGATTAAGATTCAAATTGTAGATATGATGTCACCCCTGAGGACTAAAATGCCTCATTTACAGTAAAAAGAGTCTCCGGTTCTCTACACTCATCATACGAAACACAGCCCCATTTTACGCTGATATTCTGTGAGAGCGTTGTCTTTCGTCAGTCAAGCTGGCCCATTTGTGAGACAACCATTATATAGCTGCAGCGTGACTACCATGTATACATTTATTGAGTAATTAGTCCACCGCGCACTACGCGGCTCCAATGCGTATTGGCGAACTTCACTTGTCCTTGAAATATATTCTTTCCTTTTCTACATAGGTTCTCAAAAATTTTTCTACACCTGAAACAAAACCTTATATTAAGAAGAGGAGTGTTGGTATGGCGATGCGCCACTTTATGCAGTGACGGTGGGGCCATGGAGGGATGCGCCTTATTCTTACCCTCCGTGGTCGGAATTTAGTCGGTGAGGGAGCCAAAGATCATACCCGCCGCTGAGGTCAGAAAAGCTGGTGCTCATTTTTTCCTAGGCCAGGCGGCCTAACGGCCTTCTATCGGAATTTAAATGGAAATAGTTTGGAGTGGAGTTGGAGGCTGTAGAGGAAAGCGCTCCTTGTGCTTTGGTACAGCTTACCTAAGAAGGCGAAGGGGGAGCAAATGTCCTCTCCCAAAGAGGGAAGCCATGGGGCGGCCGGTGTTCATGAAGTCGCGGATGTGCCAAAAGGCTTCCAGTGGCCCTGCCAATATGCAGCGAAGGTGGAACACAATGGGGTTTTAGTTGGTGCGAGTATGATATACTCCATCTAATTCTAATCCCTTAAACGCGCGAGGCTGTTAAACGTAGGTATTTTCACTCATTTAAAAAAGGTAACTTCTACTGAAAAGTCAATCGACAGATTCAACTCGACTGGGCAACGTTCGGATTATTTACGACACGTTTTCTCGCCAGGTATGTATACCTCAAAACTTGAAAATGATCTTGTAATGTTGTGTTGGTTCACTAGCGGTAACCAGTTGTTACTGCTAGTGAACCAATGTGAAATATCTATGATGACTTATAGATCTGCGACGTATTCCTTCACTGCTGGCCGTATGAGGAAGTTCAAGGTCGCTCAGCGAGCTATGGTGAGATCTTTTCTCCGGGTTTCTGCGTGATAAACTTAAAAATGAGAATATCCGTAGTAGAACCAGATTAATCGACATAGCCCAACGGATTAGTAAGCTGAAGCGACAATGGGCCGGCCATATTGCCTGAAGAACCGACAACCGATAGTGAAGAAAGGTTCTCGAGCAGCCTCGTATCGGTGGTTGAAATGTAGGGCGACCCTCTACTAAATGGAGTAACGACCTGGTAAGAAATGCAGGAAGTCAATGGATGCAGGTAGCTCTTAACTTTGCTTTATGGCATTCTTTGGGGGAGGCCTATATTCAGCAGTAGACTTGTGAAGGGCTGTTTGTTGTGTTGTGTCGACACATGTATGTTATTAACTTGAAAGGAAACAAGTGATTAGAAGGCGATATTAAACTCACGCTATGGTATATGCCTATGGGCGGCGATTGAGGCTTATCATCAGGTGATACGCATGCTCGTTGCTCGTCTTTAAAAAAGCTTTGAGATACTATCGTCGATAAATGTCTGCTGGGTTGAACTGTTGTCGGAACTTCTTAAAACGTAGTGATCATATACTTTATGCCCAAAATCATATTAACGTGATGCATCATGTTATTGTGAATAAATTGCACTTCAAACTAGGCTGTATGGTTGTAGGTCCTTTCGCAGTAATATAAAAAATAATCTCTGTGATTTTGATTCTGTCCAAGTGTCATTTTTAAAATTTTGGAACCGTTTTGTTTTGTAAATAAGTACGTAATATATACAGTAAATATGTATTAAAAGTAGCGAGATAAATTTACCTTACCTTTCTGAAATTGATAAAATACAGCCAAAAATTGTTGCTGGCTTTCAAATATTAATAAAATATTTTATTAAGGAAAATGACGAATACTAAACAGGTGAAAATCACAAAGCTGTTTCGAAAAGGTGGTATGTAAATACGTTAAAATGATTTTGGTGTCGTTACTTAAGATAATTTTTTGAGTGTACACTTTTATTTCAATCGACGCTTGCTTTTGTTGCTCTGTCCAAAATGAATGCAATGCTTAATACATTTTACTATTGTTTTTGTCGATTGAAATGGTAGTACTTACTATGATAAGAGTGATTTTATTCTCTGCTATGATAGGATTAGTATTAATTGAGAGAAAATGTTAATTTAATCGCATTTTATTAACTCCAGTAGCAAAATTACCCGAAGATTGTGAAGAATTGCAGGAAGAAATACGAAACTTAGAACAAAAGCTTAGGGAAAAACATAATGAGTTCTTTCAGATTCAACGCAATAAGTATAGAGTTAAACATACTATATCCAAAAATAAGCCTGGAACCTTTATAAGACCTCAGGTATTGTAACATTTAAATTACATACACAGTTAATATTTTCTTTGTTTTATTTAGTGAATAGTCCAGGTTTATATTTTATTCTTTAATAGAAAATTATACTACAAAATTCAATAGAAAATGTTAAGAGGAACCTGGAACTGATGTCAATGGTGACAGGCATGGAGGTGCAGTCTTATGCTGCTGGAGATCACTGTTCTATTGTTTACCATTTACAACATGATACTGAGTACCAGGTCAAGCATGGGCTAAGGATTGACATGAAAGCTGGTAAGTTTTAACACAAAATACTATATGAGAAGTTATATTTGTAGAGTTGCCCTCCAATTCCAGCTCCTGCCGGACATGCTTAGTTTTTTTTTATAAATAGCATTTTGAGGTTATGTTTTTGACTATAAACCTGATTATGGGGGGAGAGAATTGGGTGAGGGAAGCACCACATAGCGCATTCGAGGGAAGCCCGGTCAATGGAGCCCCGCTACCATTAAAATTTTACTTGACATGTAAACCGCTTTTAAAAAAGTATGTATTAAAATTAGAATATTTTCTAAAATACATTTTTAGTATCTACTAAAGTTTTTGTTTTGTTGTATTTAATGTTGATTTAAATTGTTTTTAATTAATGTAGGAAAAAATGAAGTTACCGAATGTTCATTTCCATTGGGTTTCAACTTTAAAGCAGTGATTGAAGAATTTGATAATGTAATGATGCCAGCATGTCTAAGTTCGATAAGGAAAGCTCTTGTGGCATATTATGATAGGTTTGGGCAGTTTGAAGCATTGCAGGTAAGATGTAGTTGTGAGTCATTGCCAGTTTTCATGGCAAAGTAATGTAATAGTTTTTATTGTATAAATAACGAGTTAAAAACAGTTTGCTTTATAGTTATCTCTAATATTGGTACCATACAAGTTGCTATAGTAAGTTGTTGTAAGAGGTGATAAAGGGAAACTAACCAAAAGATGGGCGGCAGGGTCTTCCTTAAAAAATCTGCATTTACCAACTCGCCTGCGAACCGTGTCAACTACACACACACACATGCACATGCACGCACACAGTCAAAACATTTTCATCCAAATTATTATATTAGATGGTATATACATAAGTATATATATATATATATAAATATATATATATATTATATATATATATATATATATATATATATATATATATATATATATATAAAAATTGCATGCTTAAGTTATACGATTTGTAATAAAGGAAGAATGATAACGTTCATCGCATGAATCAGTTTTTTGTTAAAATACCTGCATTTGGATTTAAAAATACTTAACTATTTTTAACCCCTCTTCTTTTCATCCTCTCTCATCCTAGGGCGGAGATCCTTTAGGGCCGATCCTCATTATAATGCCGTTCACAGTTCATTCTCGGACCAATCTCGGTATGATAAAATATTATCAAGTAAAAAATATGTGTGTGCATTCATACTATCCGTAACAGTCAAGTTTCGCTCAAATCCCATTACGTGTATAATAAATCAGAACGAGATCGGACCAAGAACGAACTGTGAATAGCAAATGAGGATCGGCCCTTAATTGTCAGACCTGGGATTGGCAATCACAATGGCAGCGGCTGGCAGTCTTGCACCATTGCTGTTCCCCGTCGCCGATCGGTGTATCTAAAACCTGGCATTAACGAGATAGTATAACTATCTCTATCTGTATATCTGTAGAAACCCAAGAGACATTTCTTGCACATCCCATAGTCATCCTTTCATCCATCATATACATAATATAGAGCGATGGATATCTTGACACTGTCACCAAACTGTATTTGTTTTGTAGAAGTTACTTCAATTGGAAGCACAATTGTTCAAGAAACTGGACACATCACATGTTGAAATAACATTTTATGCTGAAACGGATATGGAAGGGGAGGATGAACCAGTGGTGTTACACATAGTCCTTAAGTTGGAATACAGGGTTTATGATATAAGGCCCAAGACCTGTTGTTTCAATGAAGATGGTGAGTGAACTTAGGGAGTAATATATTATGCAGCCATAAAGGCTTAATCTTGTCTTCTTTCTTCTTTTCAATTACTGTCTGTTAGTCTTGCAAAAACACGAAAATGTTTCGAACGATTTCAATGAATTTTTTTGTGTATTTGAATGGGTCCCTGGATGGTTTTAACCTCATTTAGACCTGATAGGTGGCGAAAACACTCGTGCGAAGCTGGGATGGTATGCTAGTGAAATATAGGAAAGGAAATGGCCACTTACTAAATATAATAACCTACCAGAGTCAAAATCAGAACCTTAATTTAATATAAACTCTTATGAACGTCATAACTTACCCCGGTTGGTAAAACAGGGCCTCAGAAAACTGTTTTTGTTTGTAATACCATTTTAAACCACCGAGCCGTGGTAGCTCCGATGATAAATGCTCACTGTAAATATAACAGAACGCGAGTAACCTGGGTTTGGTCCCCCCCGGCACCAATGAAATTGTTAATTGTAATTTTAGGTGCTGAAACGCATTGGGGCAGCGTGGCGGACACTTCCTTGCCCTTAAGACCCTCTCAGAAATGAGGGGAGGCACTTGCCCAGATGTGGGACTTATATAGGCTGTAATTTTACCATTTTATAAATATTAAACGGTATGTTGATTTATATACCCTCTCAAAAATGACTAACAAGCGTATGTTCCAATGCAATTTTCTACATGGTTTATAGTTATAGGATACTCTTTATCTAAATGTCTCTGAGTATTCTTTTGTTAAAATGATATTGTGTTGAGTGGCATCAGCACGCGCAGGTATTGTCTATGAATTCCACTTGGAACAACAATTTTTTTTTCTATTCCTATTTTATATACATGAGAAATTATTATATTTATATAATTATGTAGAAATTTTATTTTTATTTTTAGTGGTAGCATATATTAAATAATAGTACAAGAACAGAAGAATCACTCACTGATAGCAAACTTGCGATTAAATCTCGTTACAACATCGCTAATGTTCATAATAGAGTTGGGCCAAATATGAATTTCATCGAATACGAATATTCGGCCGATCATTATTCTTAGTGTAAATTGATAATTATACGATAAAAATGAGTGGCAGGAGATCTACTATTTGGACTTATTTTAGAGAAACTGACGACCAAAGCAAAGTGAAATGTACTAATGTAATGTTTCTTTGTTTGATTCCAAAAACATAAAAAAATTTTTTGATCAACCTGGCACACCACCCCAATCCAATTCCAATTCCCAATGCCCAATTGCAAAATGCAAAATGCAAAAATGGCCAATTCGAACCCAGGATCTCATGATCAGCTGTCACACTACAACAACCACTAGACTAACGAGGCAGTAGAAAACAAAAATAAATATCAAAAGTGCCTAAATACTTGAGAGATTTTTTTTTTTTTGTTAACGTAAAGGAACGCGTCAGCTCGAGCACGCGCGTGACGAATTCACGGAATTAGCCCCTTTTCCCTTCAGATTAAATCCGCTTAATGGGGTATTTTACACCATGTAAAAAAAATATTTATGATAAATTTTGTAAAAAGTAAACGAGAATGTTGATTTCTATTTATATTATGTATTATAATTATATAATTAATTTTTAAGAATATTTTTTTTGTCTGTGCCTCAGATCTCTAAAACGCTATCCGCCATATTATAAGATTCCGTCGTGACGTCACTGCTTAAGTAAACTAGCTAATGTGCTGCGTGTTACTTCGAAATTTTTTAAGTTATTATTATGATTTTTGAGTTTTATTTTATTGAAAAGGCATCATGGAAGATGAATTCGTAAAATCAGGAAGTACTAATCTACCAGAGATAAATACATTGATGATGGCAAAAATTTTTTTACATGCGATCATTGAAGTTATATGTACTTACGTACTAGAACAGCTGTCTCAAATAAAAAATGTGCGCTACTCTGTGTTCGCGCGGTTGGTTTTTTTTGTCATAGAACAAACATAGGTAGAATGATTCGTAGGTAATAGTAGATTATATTGTTAAATAGGTAAATTATATCGAGAACAATATTTAAATTTTGTCATTTATTTTGTGTATTATATTTATTTATTTAATATAATATTACATAATATTATATCACAATTACATTTTAATGATATTTTTATCTGAATATTTTAAAAGGTATCTATGTCAAATATAAAAAAAACATACTAAATAATATATGTTTAACAAAACTTATTAATGTAGCATTTAAATTACAAATATATTTATTTAAATTAGAATAAAAGTCGTTCATAAATGCTGGGCACGCGAGAGTTAAAAATTGACGAATTTATTCCACTTTGACTTTGATGTGGAAACCTAAAAATAAAATAAAAGAATAATAAGCAGATTTAAAATTTTAAATATGAAACATTTGGCCTAATTATAATAACTTATATATGTTTAACTACAAAAAAATGTGTATAATAATATATTCGTCCTATAATTAAGAAAGAAGAGGAAAGAGGTAGCGAGATAAGTATAGATGAAATAATGAAAGCAATGAAAAGCATGAAAGCAGGTAAGGCTGCCGGATATGATAGAGTTTCACTCGAAATGCTAAGGGCTGGAGAGGAAGTCGTGGCAGGCCTGCTGCACACCTTGTTTAATTTATGCTGGGAACTGAAGCGGGTACCGGTAGACTGGTGCAAAGCCGTGATAGTCCCAGTATATAAAGGAAAAGGGTCGCAGCAGGACTGTAAAAACTACCGTGGCATCAGCCTTCTTAGCATTGTGGGAAAACTGTATGCTAAGTACTGATTGAAAGGGTCATGAAAGAAACTGATGGAAAAATTTGGGATGTGCAAGCGGGATTTAGAAAGGGAATGGGATGTACAGATCAAGTCTTTTCCATGCGCATGATCGCGGAGAAGTTTTTGGCCAAAAACCAAAAGGTTTTTTGTGCGTTCATGGACTTGGAAAAGGCCTATGACAGAGTGGATAGGGATGTGCTATGGCAAACACTGAACTCATTTGGGTTGAGCGCTGGCTTGATACAGGCATTGGAGTCTCTTTATAGGGACTCTAGTGCTTGTGTTAGGATCAACGGGATCTACTCGGACTGGTTTGACATCCATAAAGGTGTCGAAGGCTGTGTGGCTTCCCCGTGGCTGTTCAACCTATTTATGGACAGTTGTTTGCAAAATTTGAAAGTTGAAGAATGCGGATTAAGAATGGGTAAGTTAACCGTCAAATGCCTGCCTGACGATGCAAAGATAAATTGTACGCCGATGTTCAAGTTATCTTTGCATCGTCGGCGGCCGAGTTGCAAATGATGGTTACATTATTGAACAGATCATTAAAAGAAAGGGGTATGAAAGTGAACGCAAGTAAGACGAAGGTTATGGTTTTTGAAAGAGAAGAAAGTAAAACGATTTGTGATATAAAAATAGAAGGGGAGTTGATCGAGCAAGTAGATGAGTTTGTATATTTGGGCCTGCGTATTTAGCAGGGATGGGAGATATGATAAGGATATAGAACGACGAGTGAATGTGGGAAATAGAGTAAATGGGGCCCTGCATTCTATTGTGAAGAGTCAAAATGTGTCAAAAAAGGCACGTATGGCAATTCACAATGCTGTGCTGGTCCCTACTTTAACGTATGGTAGTGAAAGTTGGGTGTGGCAGAAGAAGCACGAGAGTAGAATCAACGCAGTAGAAATGCGGTCGTTAAGGAGTATGTTAGGGCTGAATCTGAACGACAGGGTAAGAAATTGTGTAACAAGAGAAGAGTGTGGTTTGCAAGATGATGTTGTGACCAGGATTAAGAAAGGAATGCTTCGGTGGTTTGGTCATGTGGAAAGAATGAATGAGGAAAGAGTGACAAAGAAAATTTATGTTGCAGAAGTTAATGGCAGAGTCGGAAAGGGACGTCCTAGGCGAAAATTTATCGACCAAATTGGCGATTTATTGAAAACGGGCCAAATTAGGAGTACCCTTAACCGACGAGCATGTATTCGTAGGTGTATGGATGTGAAGGAGGCGAGAGAGGTGTGTCAGGCTCGTGCCAAATGGAAGTCTGTAGTCTCTGCCTACCCCTCTGGGTGACAGGCGTGAGTGTTTATGTATGTACTTAAGTACCCACAGAAATATCGCATCTGTACATATTAATTTCATAATCTCATAAAAATTTCATATATTTCATGACACGAGATGGCGTCTTAGGAATAATTTGTTTTATTATTAATCTATAATACTTTTTTATTGATTAAGTATCTTATTAACCGATGAAAAGTAGTTACTTGGTTTTTACTGACATTTCTTCAATTATTTGCGCAATATCTAGGTACACAAGACGGCATATTTTTATCAAGAGATTTTTTTTAATCAATACAACACGTGACAACTCTACAGGCGCCTAGCGAGTGACTGATCAAAGTGCGGTATATGCACCGCAGTTGAATGGAACAGAGTACCTGAGTGCGGTGTCGCCTCTAGTACGTAGTACGTAATAGCTCAATGCATGCGATCCAGATTTTTGTTCTGATGAGTTAATTACCAACTTTTGTTTATACAATAACACAATACCAGGTCGGTGTATTTTAATAATATATTTATGGTTATCTATGAATAATAATTATTGTTATTATTATTAATATAATAATAATTATTTGCTGAACATAGGTAAATACAGGGGTATTAAATTGCTTTACAAAAGACTGTGTTCTATCAGAAGGCATACAAATTTACAATCTCAGCCAATTATATGATCAATTGGCAAATTAGAATAATTTTTATAACATTTTGATGGCATCAAATAAAAGTTTATATAATAAATTAATTGTATTACCTATATATAATCAATTTTGGTAGAATAATATTAATGTCAAGACTACTTCCTACTTCAATACAAAAATACTAATTAAAAAAATACAATGAATAAAATACTTAAGGCTATACAACTTAGAATGACAAACTATGCATGTAAGAGACTAATTTGTAGTTGTACATTTAATATAAATATAATCGAATTAGCGAAATATCTCAATCACTAAAGTGAGAGTTTTTATTTATTTTAATGACATACAAAATGTATCATTTAGAAAGTCAGTTATGTTGTGATTGATATGTGATAGCATTTACGTTTCAAGAAATCCTTCAGCCGTTTTTTAGAGAGTCATATTTAGGTTTCTAATTTATTTTGGTATTTTATTAAAATATTACGGGGCCCATGCAGAATATGCTTTTGTGCATTAACTTAGTATTTGATTTACGTATACAATGTTTATCGTTGTCACGTCGATTACGACTAACGGCGTCAGAAAGCTTTTCAAACAGATCAGGATTAGATTTTACGAAAACAGCGACATCGAATATGTATAAGCTGGCTAAAGCCATTTACTTTGGACTTGATATGGTTTGCTACTGTTTCTGATTTTAAGTCTATACATGGCTCGAACGCATCGTTTTTATACCTTGAACACTTTATCTTTTTGAGTTAAAGTAGTAATAAGTACAATCATTAGTCATAATACTCGATCGTATAATCATTAGTCATAACACTCACACACACAATAAGTATATTTAATATCAAAATGAACTTTACAGATAAGTGTAATCTAGATTTTGTAGATAATGAATTTGGGTATCTTCTTGCCAGTTTTAACCCAGTATATTTCCACGGCGTTCTTGTGCTCGTATTTTTGCATTCAGTCACAACACACCAGTGATAAATATGATAACTCATTTTTAAACATCCAAAAATATCTTGTTCCTTTGCAAAGTCGGCAAAATTCTAGGACAGTGACGTCACGAGCTTAATAGCAGGGCGGCAAGCGTTTTTGCGCGAAAATATAAAACGATAAATTAAAAGCCATTTTTATGACACTATTTGGTTTAAAAAATTATGGTGGTTTATTATCACTCTAGGATTCATATAACACTATTTGAAAATCGGTGCACCATACTGTATGGTGTCAGGGTCAGGGGTAACCATTGGATAACTACGTTTAATAAGACAGTCCTATCCACGAGGGCGTAGGGCGTTTTTTAATTATTTGCAAGTGGTAGTAAAATATCGATGACCTAATCATAATGGTGATTTTAGGCATGTTTGTTTGTTTTATAGACATTATTTTCATTTGATAGATTTGCCAGAAGATGCACCTGAAGCCCTTAGAAATCAATGTGAGGTGTTTAAGAAAAAACCTTTACAGAAAGCATTTAAAGAGGCCTTTATAGATGGAATTGGTCCTTACAGACTCATGCAAAAGGTAAGATAAATTATTATTTTATATGATCAGAAATCAGAGATGAAGGAGAAAAAATGCCTAGAATAGATGGTAGGCCTATCTAGCCATAGACATATAATAAATCTGTAGAACTGTAATTTCTAATATATTCTTGAAAAACAAGGCCACGGGACTAAGTTAAAGGTACTGAAACCAAAATAGTGGTTTTTAGAATTCTTGTCTGTCTGTCTGTGTATTCAAGATTCACGCAAACTACTGGACCTATATTCATGAAATTTTCTATGTAGGTAGTTAGTAGCCCAGAGCAACTTATAGGCTACTTTTATATTTTTTATTCGGTTACGGAACTTCGAAAAAGTAGGTTAAGTATTTCTTTCCTTTAGATGTTAATTTTCTGTTATATATGATTCTGTAGTTACAAGTGTAGATGACTGGTGTTTCTTCAAATTAATACCATATTTATAAATAAAGTTTCAAATTAGTTATAACCTTTGTTTAGTAATTTGAAACTACGCTGACGATCTACATTTTAGGTTTTTCTTATAGGATAGGGTAACAAACGAGCACACAGTCCACCTGATGATAAGTGGTTGCTGTGGCCCATAGACATCTATATCTATCCTCGATTACGAGTCAAAATGCAAATGTGTTGTCACCCGTGAGGACTAAGTTGGAATGCCTCATTTCCAGTAAAAAGGGTCTCCGGTTCTCTACACTCACCATACGAAACACAGCAGCATTAAGCTACTATTTTATGCTGGTATTCTGTGAGAGCGTGGTCCCTTCCCCGGTCGAGCCGAACCATTCGTGCTACAGCTATAATGTAGCTGCAGCGTAGCTCGAAAAAGTACCACGTAAGCAGCGAAAAGTACCTTTGCCTTCACTTACTAATATTATTAAATAATATAAAAATCAATTTAATAACTTACATTTATATGTTAAAATAATGAGATTTATAAAATTATTTAATAATCCGAACATTTATTTTTTTACCTTTGTCGTTATTTCATTTTAAAAATATATAATTTTAATGGATAATATAGTGACGTTTGTTCAAAGTATGAAAACGGATATGGTTTTTAGTTCAATCAAAATGTATATGTAAACTGGTTTAAACTGGACTGTCTGAAATTATTGCAAAATTCTCATTATCCTTATATATCCTTCTCATAACCTTGATCAAACAAGGTTATATAATGTCGTGGCCAGAATGTAGACTCATCATAACCTAAAGTAGTCTGTTATTTCATAAAATAATAGTATTATTTTTTTTATAGAAGAGGGGGCAAACGAGCATGTGGCTCACCTGATGGTTAGCGACTACTGCCGCCCATGATCAACCGAAACACCAGGAGAATTGCAGATGCGTTGCCGGCCTTTTAGAAGGGAGTAAGCTCTTTTCGTGAAGGTCCCTCGGTCGTATCGGTCCGGAAAAGTCGCCGGTGGTAAATAATTCCACAGAGAAGTTGTACGAGGAAGAAAACTCCTAGTAAAACGTACAATAGTAGTAATTTAACGCTATTTGTTGACCATGATTAATATTGCTTGTTCGAATCAATGAATAGAGATCGTTTGACGATATTAAACTCAATTAACTAAACAACATTGCTATTTCATGATATTTATGGTCCTATCGTCAAATAGTTTTCACCGCTAGTGGCGCTGGTAGCATGTTTTTAACACAAAGTTTTTAGCAGAATAAACGCTACTTTGTGCCTTATTTATATAATAAACAAATGTCCGGGGCTTTCCAGTCGCACCTCAACCTTCTATCGCCGATATTACTAGATAGCATAGTTTGGCTTTCATTATTTCATCTAATAATAGCGCCATCTACTTACTGCTAAATAAACTAATGATAAGTCACTGACAAAATCAAATAATAAAGGCTACTGAATACTTATTCGTTTAGAATCAAAACTTTAAATAGGAACCCAGACCGGTGGCCATTGTCGTAATAATTTACCGCAATTACTACGTTTGGCAAAATGACTAAACATACAACTGTACATAAAACTGTGATTATGAGAGAAGCTCTTTAGTTGAATATATTGGGTGTCTATCAGCATAGCTTTAATTTCACCAACTTCCTTTGTTATCAAGTTGTCTGACGTAATTGAAAATTAAGTGCACTGTGAGATTTTTAACTCAATTTGATGGAATAGTTCGTGGCATTGTTGGATGTCTAATCATTACGTAGATGTGGTCACCAATCATACAAAAGCTTTGTGTCAGTTTTCATGAATTTTATTTAAACATATACGAGAGTCGTGTAGCAGGCCGTGAAATTTTATCATAGCTCGAGAGCAAAACGTGTACGATTCCCTCGAAGACAAATGAATCTGTTACAGGAAATTTTACGTGCTGACTTATCACGTGTTCGGTGAAGTGGTGAACAATAACTTGGTAGGAAAACCTTTGAGTTTGAGTAGTTAAAAGGTATTTTAATTGCAATTTAAAGTGGCGATTTACTACGTTCTCGAAGGTGAGGAAAACGCAAGGAAAACCTACATATCTGGTTCCCCAGTTGAGGTCATTCCGTGCACAGTGAAAAACTTTTTTGACCAAAAATTATCTACGGCCTGTGCCCAGTAATGACGAGATGTGCGATGCTACTTTTTTACTTTTAATGGGGGCAATAATGCGTAGAACACATCATTGTCATCATTACAGCCTATCAATTGTCCTCCCTCCGCCCCATAAATTGTCAAACAGTCTGGATATTTGCTATGAACGTATGCGGTGGCGGATTCTCTTTCGCCGCCACAACAATGCGAACATTTTTCTAATTTCGTTCAAGAGTGTGGTTCTTCCCACTTTAACTGTTAATAGAACTTCATTTAGAATAAACCTAATTTCAAGAATTTGAAATTTTAATTTTAACTTTTTTAATAATTTACAGCACCCGTGGTCACGGGGGGGGGGGGGGCTGGGGTGTTTGACGTCCTGATGTTATTGTTAACGAAGGCTATAAGTCTTGCAGTAGTATGCCGGGGTTTCAATTTAATTGTAGTAATTATGGGATCCCAAGCAGATGTAGCACCCGGACATGTTCTCTATTGAAATTAGGATGTTTTTTTTTAAATTTCAATAGCCTCGAAAATCATCCTCGCGGTTCTTTTGCGAGGATTTATGGTCTATCAGATCTGATATAATGGTTGGGACGATACTGAACATGTTGACATAGGTACTTCAGACTCCCTGAAGCGTCGGTGCTTAACATCAGCGATATGTTCTTTTACGCGGGTTTTTATGGATTTTTTCATCCAAAGATGCGTATGAAAACCCACGTAAAACAATTAAAACTAAATACGATAAAATTCGTAAATTAATTTTATTCCATCTGCACTATTCGCGTAAATATAAGAAATAATTTTAGAACTTCATTTGTGAAATTTTGCTTTCTATTCAAATGTAAAAATAATATGACATCATTTATTTTACGGTGTCAATCAATATTAAATAGGACCAATAATATGAATCCATATCGCAAATAAACGTCATACCGTAAGTTAATAGACAACAATGAAATTCATCATTGTTTTGTTACAAGTAAACTAACTTTAGTAAAGTGTAAAATGTGACTAACGCAATTATTTCCAAATGTAAAAAGGTAAATAAATAATTGAGTCCTAGACAATTTGGCAATTGATAATTACCTTTCTATGGATATATCGGAAGACACGTCTGATATAAAAAATAGTCGGTGATTGTAAACTTAAGATGCTTGAAAAATTGAAGAAGTTATTATATCTATGACAAATATCAATCATCTATGTTCAATAGTCTTTGAGAATTAAAAAAAAACCGAAGTGACTCTAATAGTGATCGAATTTTACCAAATGTAGAACGGAACAACATTTATTAATGTTGCTAAATTAAGCCCACGCATGCGAAGCCGCGGGCAAAAAGCTAGTAATAAATTAAATTAGTTAATAATAAACTGTATCAAAAAAGGGGGTGGCTTACTTTTCGTCTGTATCTATACTATGTACGCTACGCGATATTTTCGTCAATTTTGATAAAATTATTTTGTTAGGTTGCAAAATAAATGATATATTGTAATCACAATTATACTGAAACTGAGTAAAATGAAATTTCTCCACAGTTAAAGACAAAACTTCAACCTAAACCGCAACGGAGACCGAAGCTGTTCCGCCCAAATAAGCACAACTATAACAATGACGACACCTTTCTGCCTGAAGATTGCTCCGACCAGGGCGAAGATGATGAACTAGAACAATAAATGCTTCTCTTGTTTTTATGTATTGCGTTTCTATTTAACCCATTATTTCCCAAGCTTCGAAACATTGCAATTTTTGATCAATTCTTTAAATTAAGTTCATAATACATTAAGAAAAAAGAATATGACAAAAAATAATAAAAAATATACCTTCATCCCTGTTTCAGCCTGTCCTATAAATATGACAATAGGGACATTGTGATCAGAAATAATACAAGTTAATAATTATAAGAATATCTGCTTTATTTGAAAATTATATCCACAAACAGTCTTAAAAATAAGATATTATGAGCTTATTTTGTATGATGTGCTTTTCACATTTAGCCCAAAAGGTTAGAAGGTTTTTTCTTACAACCTTGTCCTTGACAACGCCTCTGTTTGTCCCTCTTTGTCATATAGTGACCAACATTATCAAACCTGACAGGTTGTAAAAGAACTTCTGAAGAACCGGGTGTCGGTTTACTTGCCTTGCCTTTCGATTTTTTCATCCAATCAAAACAAACCCTTCGTCTGAAATCTTGCAGAGGGATGGTCTCATCTTTATTTATCTGGTTGTAGATATTCCATGCATTCACAAGGGACATGTCTAAAACACGGATGACTAAAGGCCATTATCATTTTTACCTCTAAAGCAGATTGGATATTTAGAAATCAGCCAATCATGTTTATCCACTCCTCCCATATTTTTATTATAATTATGAATAAGCATTGGCTGATTCACGGCTGCTTTGCCCTTTTCTTTCTTTGAGTACCTATTCGTTTTTACCAAATGTTCAACAGAATCAAAATTAGTCAAAAGACAAACAACATTGTTACGCCATTTCACGCACAAAATTTCATTATTTTTATCAAAACGGTAATCGGAAAAACCTCGGTCTTTCTTTTTCATCTCCTGTTTGGTCATGATAGGACATTTTTAGTCCTATTTTCTCTGACTATCCCTGTAGCTCTGAACCCTTGAGATTTCAAATCAATCAACAATTGCATGCTGCTGAAAAAGTTATCGAAGTAGACTACATGTGCTCTGGGATCTGTACAAACTGCAAGCAACTGCTTTACCACTGTTGCACCCAAGCCATCGTTACTACTAGCAGAGGTTTGAGCATCCTTGCCTGTGTAAAGCGAAAAGTTGTAACAATATCCGCTGACTCCACACAGTGCCCAAGGTTTATATCCGAACCTTACTGGTTTTTTACCTTTTATAAATTGTTTGATTCCATGGTGACCGAAGTATTTGACATTTCATCAACAGCAAAATTGGATAAGTGGGCGAATTTTGAAAGCTTTGTCAGTATTATTAATTTATGAGTTGTCATTGAAATGTAAATAGGATTTAATTTTATCAAAAAGATTACGGGACATTGCCTGTTCAACAAATGGAATATGTGCATCCTCATCTCTACACCAATAAAGTTTACTTTGCGGCAAGTGATAATACGAAGAGAAAAACAAAATTCCTATAAAGACTTTTAACTCATTTATAGTTAGATTGAAGTTCAAATCATTTTTATAATGTTTGGCGTAGGTTACAGTTTCGTGCACAATATATTCTAGAATCTCGTCACACAACAAGTTTTCGAATATTTCTACCGCTGATTTTCCTTCCAACTCCGTAATCATATTTTCCAAACATTGTTTAGCAGTATTAGATTCCGGCTGTATTTCAGAATATATTGGTTCACACTTACGCCAAGTGACTGTCTTGCTTGTCCGAGATGTGGTTTGAGTAGGATGATTTTCCGCGACGTTATCGATCGTGCACGAAAATTCCACTTGACCAGCTACATCAGACACTGACAAAACTCCCATATCGTCGTCATAACCTTCTATGTCAGTCATTTCATCAACCTCATCCGGCGGCAATATGGCAACTTCAATGTCATTCAACTCCTCATCACTAGAATCTTCAAATATCTTGAAGATAGTCTACGATTTCGCACACATTCAAAACTTTTTTATAATTTTTTGCACTGGATCCATGATCTATAAATAATAAAAAATAGAAAATATAAATATATAGCCACACGAATACTTATAATCATACAGACAGGTATATTGTTTACAATTAGATAAAGAACAAAAATAAAATATGTTTACTTACCTATAATTTGTCAACTTTGTAAACAATTCACTTTTTTTACTCTAGGTCGATAAATAATCACAATCGTTTCGTGTACGAGATGTAATGTGTTCGGCGTAGACTAATCGACTAATATAAACACTAGCAAGACCCGCAAAAAACAAACAATTGACCAGTTTAAACCTGTACTTAGCGTGACATGATCGAACACGCTTTCGCGGCAAATTGTACAGAGAGGTTCCCAGTGTCATATTTATAGGACGGCTTATTTTCAATGTATATCACAAGTTCACAAATTGTTTTTTGTTTTTGTTTTTATTTGTTTTATATTTGGTAGAGATCTAAGAATAAGTCTTCTGTACTTTGAAGTAGGTAACGTTTTTATTTTACGGTATACACAATCAGAACTCAATGCTCTCCTTCAGTCAACAAAAATAACGTAAACACTCACACTCACGCCTGTCACCCAGAGGGGTAGGCACAGACTACGGACTTCCATTTGGCACGATCCTGACATACCTCTTTCGCCTCCTTTACATCCATATATCTACGCATAAATGCTCGTCGGTTAAGGGTACTTCTAACGTGGCCCATTTTCAAAATATCGCCAATTTGGTCGATAAATTTTTTTCTAGGGCGTCCCTTCCCGACTCTGCCATTTGAATCTGCCATATAAATTTGCTTTGTCAGTCTTTCCTCATTCATTCTTTCCACATGACCAAACCACCGAAGCATTCCTTTCTTAATCCTGGGCACAACATCATCTTGCATACCACATTTATCTCTTATCACGCAATTTCTCACCCTGTCATTCAGATTCAACCCTAGCATACTCCTTAAAGACCGCATTTCTATAGCATTTATTCTACTTTCGTGCTTCTTCTGCCACACCCAGCTTTCACTACCATAAATTAAAGTAGGGACTAACACAGCATTATGAATTACCATACGTGCCTTTTTTGACACATTCTGATTTTTCATAATAGAGTGTAGTGCCCCATTCACTCTATTCCCTGCATTTACTCGTTGTTCTATATCCTTATCATATCTACCATCCCTACTAAATACACATCCCAAATACACAAACTACTTGCTCAATTAACTCTCCTTCTATTCTTATTTCACATACCGTTTTGCTTTCTTTTCTTTCAAAAACCATCACTTTGGTCTTACTTGCGTTCACTTTCATTTCCCTTTCTTTTAATGCCCTGTTCATTAATGTAACCATCATTTGCAACTCAGCCGCCGATGACGCAAATATGACTTGAACATCGGCATACAAAAGGCATTTGACGGATAACCCATTCTTAACCCACATTCTTCATCTTTCAAAGTTTGCAAACACCTGTCCATAAATAGGTTGAACAGCCAAGGGGAAGCTACACAGCCATGTCTGACACCTTTTTGGATGCCAAACCAGTTCGAGTAGACCCCATTGATCCTGACACAAGCACTAGAGTCCCCATAAAGAGACCTTAATGCCTGTATCAAACCAGCGCTCAACCCATATGAGTTCTGTGTTTGCCATAACACATTCCTGTCCACCCCGTCATAAGCCAAGTCCATGAACGCACAAACACTTTCTGGTTTTAGGCCAAAAACTTCGCCGCAATCATGCGCATGGAAAAGACTTGATCTGTACACCCCATTCCCTTTCCAAAACCTGCTTGCACATCCCAAATTTTTCCATCAGTTTCTTTCATAACTCTTTCAATTAACACCTTAGCATACAAATTGAAAGAAATCATAACCTTAGCATACAGTTTAGCCACAATACTAAGCAAGCTGATACCACGGTAATTTTTGCAGTCCTGCCGTGACCCTTTTCCTTTATATATTGGTACTATAACTACTTTACACCAGTCATCCGGTACCCGTTTTAATTCCCAATATAAATTAAACAAGGTGTACAGCAGGCCTGCCACCACTCCCTCTCCAGCCCTTACTATATATATACTCTATCATATCCAGCTGCCTTACCTGCTTTCATGCTTTTCATTGCTTTAATTATTTCATCTACACTTATCTCCACACCCCTTTCCACTTCTTTCGGAATTTCTAGTTCATTTAATTCAGATGACTCTTCACTCATAAACACGCTTTCAAAGTATTCCTTCCATCTGTTTAAATTCGAAACTTCATCATTCAGAATACATCCATTCCCGTCTCTTAGCATTAATTAAAGGCTGTTTTGTATTTCCCCTGGCAGTTCTTACGATTTTCCAGACAATTTTTATATTAGCCTGGAAATTATCAGATATCCTTCTATCACTCTTATCCATTATTTCTTTCTTTTTCCTTTCAACTACTTCTTTTACTCTCTTATTTAGACGTCTAAATTCTGCCTTTTTTCTTTCAATCTCATCATTCATACCAGAAGAACCACCAGCTTTGGTAGCTAGTAAATCTAACCATGCTTTCTTCTTTGATTCAACATCCACCCGTACCTCATCATTCCACCACAACGTATTACTTTTCCTTTCATTTGTTCTCTTACTTACACCACATACTTCGGTGGCTGCATCCACCAAACCTTTCTTAATATTATCCCACACAGTATTCAAGTCTAAATCATTCATACACAACTCATTCAAACACCTAATATTTTCTCTCAGTCTACATTTATACTTCTCTTTCACATCTTTATCTTGTAACTTTTCTATTCTTATACGCTGTAACGCAGGGGTAGACACAGATGTCCAATGCCGCCGACGCTTGAAAAGACCATTAACGACATAAGATCGATCGAAGATCGAAGATCAAGTAATGATCCGTCCCTACGTTGGACCCCCGGTAAACCCTTGTATCTACGACTACGCTCCTCATTCTTTCATCGACAATTATGAAGTCTATCATGCTTCTATCATCACCTCTTTCCCATGTATACATTTGAATCTTCTTATTATGAAAAAAGTATTCGTCACAAAAATATTCTTTTCCACACATACGTTAAGTCTCCTAACATAATAATATTTTTATTTTCCTTACATTTTGTGAACACCATCCTTACCATGTCCCAAAACTGCTCTCGGATGTAAGTGGGCTTAGACATGTCTGGGGCGTACATCCCTAGCAGGAACAGCTTCTTTAAGCCCACTTTCATTCGTATCCATAGCAGCCTCGGGCTTACACATTCATACTCTTTCACACATTGACCCATTCTTTCTGAAATGATGAAACCGACTCCCTGGTATGCCCGTTCGGTCTCGTCTACACCAGACCAATACGCGGTATACGTGCCATGTGCAGTGGCATCCTTTCCCTTTCGTTTTGTCTCATTTACACATAACACATCTATTCCTCTGTCATTCATCATTTCGCATACTTCATCCATCTTATCATTCATTGCTCCACATACATTCAGCGTAGCCAGACGGGCTTCCGCAATCCGCTTTTCGCCACTCCGGGAGACAGAACGTGACGGGTGGCGAACCTTGTCCCAGAAGTCGACGTCAAGCCGAAACTTTCCGATAGGCGAGGCCATACTAGTTACCAGAAAAATATAAAAAAATCTAAGTCATGTATTTCAGAAATTATAGTAATTTTTTTTCGATAAAATGTGCACCATGAGACAGTTTTTTCATTCCTGTTGCTACAAATATGTACTTTTTGTTAATTTTTTTCTCTTACGTCATCCTGAATAGTGCTTCTGTAACCTGTAATCCTAAACCCTGTGCCGATCACTCCAGCTTGAAAAAAAATGTAATTTTTTACCGAACCAAGTTTTCAGAATTAGTTTTTCGCACTACTTCAACTGACCGTCCTGGAAAAAATTGTACTACGCCAGTTTGGCAAGTAGCTTTAAAAGTTAGGGTATTTAATAAGGATTCTTACGTGGTATAACACTTACTCCATTATTTCTTAGATCAGCCATAAAAAACTTTTTGTTAAACAAAGTCAGTTTTTAACAATTTTTTGGAACTTGTAAGTTTTTAATGTATTAAAACGATTCTAGTGCAACCAAAGCGTTCCTAATGACCACAGCGTGGTTTAAATGAGATAGAGAGAGACATTCCATAAAGTGTGAGCAAGACAGGTGGTGACGCCTCTTATTGGTATTGGTACACGCACTACAAATCAGTCAAGTACTCTGTGAAATCAGTACGCAACGCTACTTCGTTTACTACGCATCTTTTCGTATTCGCTGGTGATATCTTGTGTTCTTACTACTTTGGCTTCGTTTACTGGACTTGTTTGCGTGTGATTTGGATTTGGACATTTGTGATCTCTTTACGACGACCTTTGCTTTTCCATGGACTAACGTGTTATTGTGTATTTGTAACATACCATAGCTGTGTACACCACACAGGAATGTGCCAACATGCACTTCATTTATGGGGAATGCCAATGTAATGCCAGTGAAGCCGCTAGACGGTATCGCGAGAGATACCCTAATGCTGATCGCTATCCAGATCACAGAGTTTTTACCAATGTGCACCGTCTACTCTTCTCTGATGACCGACTGCAAAACCAAATGCACGGTGAAGGTAGAATTTCATTACCTTACGAGGAAGTGGTCCTTGAAGCAGTTGATGAGGACCCAAGTTGTTCGGTACGTGGAATTGAGGCCAGCACACGTGTGCCCAAAAGTATAGCTCACCGAATATTACAAAAAAATGAGCTCCATCCTTATCATGTACAGCGAGTACAAACGTTATTACCTCGGGGTTATGAACCTCGGGTTGCGTTTTGCCAAACCATGATTCAAAAACACCGAGAAGAAAATTTTGTGGTCGGATGAATCAACCTTTAAAAAAGACGGCTACATGAACCTTCACAATCTACACGAATGGTGAACAAGATTGAT